GCAATTTGGTAACATGGAGCAAATACGATGTCAGTTGATTACCAGGGGGTCGTGAAAGACTACACGATATGGAGTAAGCATGGGGAGGTTGGTGAGAATGTTCCGCAAGAAATGCGATCATTCCTGATGTAGACCCCCTCCTCCCCCCAAAAACTTGTGTGATCTAGGAAAATGCAATTACTAACGCGGAAGCGGGTGTCAACACGCAACTGATGGCTACTAATGATGATGTGTTTAGGAATACGTTAGCTGACAATACCGTGGATGATGATGGCCTTTCTCACAAGCTACGTGATATAGAGGGCGGATTCCTTAGTGCTAGACAGTTAAAAAAAACTAGAGATAATGAGAAAGGGTGGAAAAAACCTATTGTATTCGGGTCCATGATGCAACCAGAAGTTACCTCATACTTTATAATGTCACATAGAGTCAAGAAAAATATGGATGGCCACAGAAACAACCTTTACGAGGCATACACTATGCAAGCGCATACCCTAGAACAACCGATGGCCAACAATGAATGCAGGTTCTACGTGATGTGGGCAATGCACTAGTACCTCGGCGAGAGCGCAACGGAAGGAAATAAAATGGTGTGTATGCTTCTCTTGAAAGAGTATAAATAATAACCAAATCAATATTTGTTTTTCCGATACAAAAGAAAGATATTAAAATTCTAAAATGATACAAAAAATTATAGCAAAAGAAAAAACTAAATAGCCCTAAGTCTCTAATCTCTACACAACTAATCTAATTCATTGAAAAAACCATTGCAGTAACTGGAATAAAAGAGAGGGGACAGATAAAGCAGTAATTAACATCATAACTAGCTAATTGGTCGTATATTATGCAGATCAACTAAGGTGTAGTGTAGGAAAAACTACAACAATAATAACATAGACAAAATAGAGGGAGAAGATAATATAAATATTAGACATAAATCATATAGATATCAATAAAGACTAACACAAAGAACAGCTCATAAATAAATACAACACTAATTAGTAATTTTTGTTAGCTAATTAAGGGGTTATATAGTGGGACACTAGGGAGCTTGGCGGTGTGTGGCCCCCCTTCCCTCTGTCCCTGGCTTCTCATTTCATGTTTATAGGTCAATTCAATAAAATACACTGTTGTTTTGGCTAACACTTGTGCATTTCGATATTATCTTACTTCAACGACAGCATGAGGAACTTAAAACCCAAAAGCTGTTATACTCTGAGATCAGAGGATTGCAAGACGAGCTAGCAGCCTTCATCATGGATGAGGTCATGAGTAAAAAAAAGGATCTTTCAGCAATAAATAGGCCAAGGAAAAGATCTTGAAGAAACTTCTATTGTAATATATACATTTTCATTGTATATACATTATTGTAATATTTGTATTATAAATCTTAGTGGATGTGTGATGTATGTGATTCTTTAAATATCCAGTCCTGTAACCATAGAAAATAAAAAGTGTTACTCAAAAATAACAAAATCAATTAATAAATTAAATATGGAAAAATCAGCTCACTGTCAAATCCATCTGCAGTGATCATAAGGATATCACTGCCAGTTGCAAAGCAAGTCAGCAGTGATGCTCAAAACAACGTACTGTCAGTTCTAGTCTTAACCCGACAGTGATTTTAAGACTATCACTGTCGGTTTAGGACTAGACCCGACATTGATGTTTGATATCACTGTCGGTTTAGGATACCGACAGTGATAGAAAACCCGTATCACTGCCACTTATCCCCTGCCGGCTTGATTTCTAGCAGTGATAGGGGGTATTGACTCGGCAGTGAAGTGCTACTCCGAGGTAGTGCACTTTGTAGTTGATAATATTTTTTTCAACTGAGCACGGTTGGAGAAAACACCTAGACCAAAGTTGTAGAACTATATGAGATCTGAACCTTTTTAGTTCAAATTGTTTTCATTCGAATTCATTTATAATCTCAAATATCCATTCTAATATTTGCCACAGCACATACAAAAGGAATGTATGAGCCACTTAGTCATAAGACACTTTGTGTTACTGATGAAATGAAGCCTAAGGTTGTGAGTTTGATCCTCCAATTAAGGCAGCACCCACGCAAAAATTCACGTGATCTGTGATTCTTCTTATTTGCTATTTTTCATCTAATCTTAAAATTCTGAAAATGATTTTTATAGACGGCTGGGATTCAACCTGCCTTTAAAAGTCGATTTCTAGAGGCAGGCCGAATCCTGCCGCCTAAGCCTGTGTATAGTAGTGGGATATTACATAAACTCAATTATTGTTCCCTCCGTTTCAAATTATAAGTCGCTTTAATTTTTTTTTTGCATCCATTTTGCTATGTATCTAGATATGATACAATGTCTAGATACGTAGCAAAATTAATGAACCAAAAAAATCAAAGCGACTTATAATTTAGAACGGATGAAGTACGTATTTATCTTTGCAATAATACTTTAATTTCAATGGTTATAGTTCAGGCAGTGTTACTTACATTTCAACGTGATTGAGACAAAAGATACGTTGAGATGTGGCAGCATAGATTCCTACATATATGGCCGTTTGCTATATCCGATTGTTCTCTATTTTGTCGTATTTGCAACTGCTCATTAAGTTTTCTTTCTTCTACATAAAAACTGCTATATATACAAAACCTTGTAATGGAATGGTTAGATCTAAATTGCACTCTCTTCTAAAAACCATCTGTAAAAGTTATGTATTAGAACTGCACTGAAGAATATTTAATTGAGTCCCACTCGTTCTCTCCAGATTACTTTTCTTCTCGCAGACAGGCACATGATGCATGCACCTAGCAGGCCAACAACGCGGCAAACGGGATCTGAGATTCGGGTGCTGCCAATTACCGTCATACTCAAAAACCTGGATCTGACAAAGTAACGCCAGCCAGCACTTGCGATCACCGGTGTTGTGCCAACCAAATAACATGTGTGCCCAGTCTCGTATGTCCCGGTTTACAGAGGAAGGAATCTATCTCACGGAGTACATAATAATCAGTACAAATCAAGAGATACAAGAAATTGAGCGATGAAATTAAGACGTGAGAGCATCTCAGCCGGCGGTGTAACCTCCTCTCATCGCCAGTTCAGTGTATGGTCCGGCGGCGAAACGTACCCAGAGATCACCGCCGGATTGTACACTGAGCCGCTAGGGAAAATACTCTTTATTGTCGGTTCAAGTGGCTCGGCTCTCGAACAATGTAGGTTACAAAATAGTTTCTCCGCTGTTTACGAAATAAACAGCGGTAAGGGTGCAGGGGATGACCCTGTTTCTGTAGTAGTGTAGGTTTTTCCATCGACAGTGTAGATCGACATTTTGTGAGGAGAATCAGAGGGGTACCACATGAAACACAGATGTATACTAGTTCAGATACAGAGTACACTACATCTAGTGAAGAATGGATCTCTTATCTTGCAAGCTCGGAGTGCTTTCCTAGCCCCTCTTTATATATAGTGTGTGTGTGTGGGGGGGTAGGGTTCAAGGTGATCCCGTTCCGTTACAAGTAGGTTTCCTAGTTTGTTACAAGAAGAATCTAATAGGATCTTAGCAAATCAGTATAAACATCTTGGCTTCCATGGCTTCGTGGTCGATGGGTTGCTTTTCAAGTCGATGACATACCCCGTTCATGTTGTGCTTGTCATTCGATAGGCTCGGCCTACTCTGTCCCTGTTGGGTTCTTTTTTTAGGCAGTGAGGCTACCCATGGTCCATGACACCAATAGCTTCAGTCCAACTCATCTTTTGGAGCAGCTTACCAGATGAAGTCATTTTGTAATAATTTGTGTCAAATTTGTGAGGGGGTTGCACAAAGCTTTTTTTTTTCCAGCTCTGGCTCCTAAGTACAAAAATGCTCCAGCTCCTCTGCACGACTCCTTGCAAGGAGACACAAGAAGCCAGACCTGGATCCCCGCCAAACTTATGAGTAATAAATCAAAAGATTATCATAATATAAGTGGCTAATTGAAATACAAATTTATGAGTTATGTATTTTTTATTATAGAGATGGATAATTTTTATGTGTTTTTTTTCCTTTTCAATTGCTGGTGCGAACTCTGGGGCGTTTTGATTTTTTCCCCCTTCCCGTTAGCCCGTATGGGATATTTTTTCCTTTTTCTTTTTCTTCCCATGCATCCGCGAATGGAGTTCTTTTTTTTCCAATAAATACTAAAAAAACAAATCATAAAAGCAATGATTAAAGACCATTGTATTCTTGACCGTTTTATAAATGGAGGCTTTCACCACTAAATTGTTACTTATCTTATTATTGGAACATGGTTCAGTCAATGGTTCAATTAATTAATTGTAAACTAAAATATTGAGCAATTTGTTGTCCGATCCGGTCTAAATAAATACGCCTTTGCATACACCGTTTTAATTCATGATGAATGTTGCCATGTTGATAATAGGGAGAGGTGTCCTGTCATCATCACCATCGAACACACCAATACTTGACATATCAACAACTAACAACAATACTTGACATATCAACTAACTACAATTTATTTTATGATGATCATAAAATAAATTGTAGTTTAAAAATTTTATAGAAGGAGAAATAGCTATATAGCATTCCTATTCTCATTTTTCCTGAACATTTTCGATACCATATTTTCTCAGCATTCCTATTCTCATTTTCCATAAATATTCAATACTTCTTATTTTTCTCTAGTTGCAGCGCACGTGCATATTTACTAGTAACTAGAATTTTCTTTCCATCTCATTATGATAAATGGGTAGTTGCATCGAGAGATTAAGTATTCTAATGGATGCTTGAAGCATCTCAATTTGAGTTTTAAAATCAATACGGTGAAGGAAGCAACAAGAAACAAGATTATATTTACATATTATAGTTATATAAAGCAGCCGGCGACAAGGAACGCATAGAAATAATGAGCAGCTCTTCCACATGTAGACTTTTTTTTTAATTAGGGAATCTTCCACTTGTATATTTCCCAGGCCAAAATAGAGGCACCCGGGAGCGCAGCCAAAGCACCAAGTTTATTGGCAATCATGGACCACGGTGTGCACTACTGTCTTCTAGCTCTTCTTCCTCTTGTGTACTTCCTGCTCAAGTCGTTGTGCAAGAAAGCTCCCTTGGGATCTGGTAGCCGCCATGGACTCGAGCTCCCTCCAGGCCCATGGCAGCTCCCCGTCGTCGGCAGCATCCACCATCTCTGCGGCTCCCTCGTGCACCGCCCTCTGCGGGACCTGTCGCTCCGACACGGGCCTCTCATGTTCGTCAGGTTCGGCGAGGTCCCGGTCATCGTAGCGTCCACGCCGGACGCCGCGAAAGAGGTGATGAAGACCCACGATGCCATCTTCTCGACGAGGCCACTGAGCTTCGCCATGAAGACGGTGACCAAGGACCGCCTGGGCATCGTCCGGGCTCCGTACGGCGAACACTGGCGGCAGCTCCGCAAGATCTGCACCATGGGCCTGCCTGCAAGGCGGAGGCGCTCCGGCTGGTCCGAGCCGTTGCGTCCTCATCGTCGTCGTCCACCGCAGCAGTGCCGCTCGTGGACCTCAGTAAGCTGGTCGCGATGTACGTGGCCGACGCGTCGTTGCACGCCATCTTGGGCAGGCGGTTCAAGGTGAAGGACCGGGAGACGTTGCTCCGCTACTTGGACGAGTGCGTCCGGCTGGCCGGCGGGTTCAGGCCCAGAGACCTGTTCCCTTCGTCGTGGCTGGCTCGTGCTCTGAGCCGCCGGGCAGTGCGTGAGGTACAAGCCTACTACCACTCCCTGTTCTCCTTCATGGATGGAGTGTTAGGTGAGCACCTAGAGCGACAAAGTTCACGTGAAGAAGAAGACGAAAAACGCGATGGTCATCAGAAGGATTTGATTGACGTTCTCCTCAGGATCCAGAAGGAAGGAAACCTTCAGTTCCCTCTCACCACGAGGATAATCGAAGCAGTGATATTTGTGAGTGTTTATTAATTTGCTAATGTTAGATTTTTGCTAATGTAAATGTTAATTAATGTCTTCAGTTCCTGTGTGAAATAAACTGTCTCCATGTAGGATCTTATCGGCGGGGCTATCGAAACAGCAACAACAACGCTGCAGTGGGCGATGACTGAGCTGATGAGGAATCCAGTGTAGGAATTAGGACCAGCAATCACGAGCTTTGATCGGTGTCTAGCCTAGAACACGAGAAATCAATCGATGAAATTGATCAAGAACACTGTGTGCACCACGAACTGGCAACTGTCAACAGGGAGACAGTGCCCCTTTTCACTATTGATAAGTTCGATTACAATGCACGGCAACTCTGGACTAGCTAACTGCTAACAAGTCTTAACTCTTGGCTTTATATCCAGCCATTACGAAAGCACTCACACCTACGAATAAACTGCTAAAACATGGATACAATGCGCCCTCAGCGCAACTACCGCTCCACCGCGACGTTGTGAGCGCGCTCACCGCGCGCCGCCTTGATTCGATTTCAAACTTTGAATATCCCGCGTGACTTGCTGACTTGGCTTCTCCAGTCCACTCACCATACCAGTGCATATGCTGGATTAGCCCAACATACTCCCCCCTAATCCTGCTGTGCACTCACTTCGCGAACACCAATCAAGTGTTTCATCACCTCGAGTTTACCAGCTGCTACAGGTTTTGTCAGCAAATCTGCTTTCTGTTCATCAGTGTTCACCCTCTTCACCACTATCTGTCCCCTTTCAATACATTCCCTGATAAAGTGATACTTTGTATCAATGTGTTTGCTGCACCCGTGAAACACCGGGTTCTTCATCAAGGCAATGGCTGAATTGTTATCAACAAACATCGTCACTGTTCTGCGTGGTGTCGAGGTCAGTTCTGACAACAAGCTTCTAAGCCAAAGTGCTTGCATTGCTGCCACTGTGGCTGCCATGAATTCGGACTCGCACGTAGACAATGCCACTGTCTTTTGCTTCTGTGAGTTCCATGTTATCAGACAACCATTGAGATAAAAAGCCATCCCTGCAGTGCTTCTCCTTCCCACAACATCTGCTGCATGGTCACTGTCTGAATAACCAGTCAACACCTCTGGATCTCCTCCTTTGGTGTACACAAGCCCATGGTTTACACTCCCTTTCACATACCTGAGAATTTGCTTTACTGCCTTCAGGTGCATGACAGTAGGTTTTTCCATGTACCTGCTTGCAATACCAACTAAGAATGCAAGATCAGGCCTTGTGTGTATCAGATACCTCAAACAACCAATGACACTTCTATAGTCAGTAACATCTACTCTTTTCCCCTTCTTGTCTTCATCCAGCTTAGCCCCTGGATTCATAGGTACTCTGGTAGAGTTACAATCCTCCATCCCAAACTTGGTGAGAATCTTCTTGGCATAACCTGCCTATTTCAGAGTGATAAAGTCTTCATGTTGTTCCACTTCTATTCCCAGATAGTAGGACAACAGTCCTAGATCACTCATTTCGAACTCAGCTGCCATTTGTTGCTTGAATTTCTCAATCTCCCTTGATTCACTTCCTGTGATCAGCAAAACATCTACATAGACTCCCAAAATTACAGCATCTCTTCTAGTTCCTCTCTTGTAAACTGCAGATTCACTTGGGCATTTCACAAACCCCGGTTTCCTCAAACTTTTGTCCAGTTTGATGTTCCAAGCTCTTGGAGCTTGTTTCAGTCCATATAAAGCTTTGCTCAATTTCAGAACACACTGTTCCTTCCCTTTTGTGACAAAACCTTCTGGTTGACCCACATAGACCTCTTCCTCTAATTCACCATTAAGGAAGGCTGTCTTCACATCCAGATGATGCACTTTCCACCCTCTGTTTGCTGCCAATGCCAAGATCACTTTTACTGTATCGATTCTGGCAATTGGTGCAAATACTTCCTCATAGTCAATTCCTTGCTATTGCACATAGCCCTTGGCCACCAGCCTGGCTTTATGTTTAATAATCTCACCATCTGCATTTCTTTTCAGTTTGAATACCCATTTCAATCCAATAGCTTTGTGACCTGCAGGCATATCTGACAACTCCCAAGTCTTATTCTTCTGAATAGATTGGAATTCACTATTCATGGCTTTCACCCACTCAGGATCTGTTCTTTCACTATAGCTAGTTGGCTCATCTCTGTTTCAACAAGTAAAGCCTCACCGTGCTAATCGCTTAATTCCACTATATCGTGTTTTGGTAGATTTCATTCAAACTCCTAAAATGCACTGGTTCCTCATCGATAGATCATTCTCTAGCAACTCTAGGTTTAACATGCATCATTATGTGACTATGAAATTTCTTGCAATGGAAATTCTTCATTTGCATCATTTCTTGACACAATTCCGTGAGACTGTGGATCATTTGGCACACTACCCGAGCTTTACAGACCTGTGCTCCCCCTTGCTCTTGTTGTGCACTGAATTGGTTCTTCATCAACATCAACTGCTTCCCATTATGCATTGTCGACACCAATTTCATCTTCAGCCTGAAACTCCATCAAAGTTATCTACCCAGTCTCCACTCCACTTCCATTCTGCTCCTTCTTCAAATATCACATCTCTACTCACAACAATTTTCTTTTGCACAGGATCATATAACCTATGAGCCTTGCTTTCTTCTGCCACACCAAAATACACCATTTTGTGACTTCTGTCATCCAGATGCTTGGGATTTGGCACTGTCTGTTTCACATGTGACAAACAGCCAAACACCTTGAGATGTCCAAGGTGTGGTTTTTTCCCATTCCATGCTTCAAATGGAGTTTGCTCACCAATTGGTTTTGATGGAAATCTATTCAGTAAATATACTGCATGTCTACCATCCTCACCCCAAAACCTCCCTGCAATTTTCATTCCTTTTAGCATGCATCTTGCCATTTCAATTATTGTTCTATTTCTTCTCTCCACCACACCATTACTGCTGGGTGAATATGGGGTTGTCGGTTGTCTCTTGATCCCAACAACCTCACATACACCTACAAATATGCTTGATAGGAATTCCCACCCCTATCGATCTCGAGCATTTTGATCTTATGCCTGTTTGATTTTCGTTTTACGCCTTGTATTTCACAAAAGCATCAATTGCTTGATCTTTACTTTTCAGCATAAACACATTCATCCATCTACTATAATCATCCACCAAGAGCATGAAATATTTATTCCTAGCTGATGTAGCTGGAGTAATGGGCCCACACAAATCAACATACACCAACCAAGTGGTTTATCACCCTGAATGTGGTAGCATTTGGAAAAACTTTTCTAGTCTGCTTCCCGACCAAGCACCCATGACACAGTTGTTCGTGGTGTGTAATCTCCGCACTCTAGCAGCCATTCTCTTTTCCACCAACAATTTCATAGCCTTGAAATTGACATGACCCAACCTAGCATGCCACAACCATGCAGGTTCTTCTAAACTCCCCATCAGACGATGGCTTTTTGCTAACTACAATTCTATCTTGTACAGACGATTCACTGTTCTCTGTACCTTCATTATCAGTTTCCCTAACATTTTGTCTACCACTTCAAGCCAATCATCATCAAGATTAATTCTATGACCTGTCTCAATGAGCTGACCTAAGCTTATTAGGTTGCTTTTCAACTTGGGAATGTAAAACACATCATGCAGCAGCCATTGATCAGCACTGTTCTTATACTGAAATAAGACTGAACCTTTTCCGACAATATCTACTGCTGAACCATCCCCAAACCTAACCTTCCCAGCAATTTTCAGATCAAGCTCCTTAAACTTTTCTGGATCCCCAGTCATATGATTACTAGCACCGTTATTACCAGTGCTGGCCCCACCGCCAGTGAGATGTGGCTCCGGGAACACGCGTTGCTCATTTAGGATCACTGCTCGCCGCCCTCCTGAAGCTTGGTGCAGACATGGCGCGTGCTCAAGCAACTTCGACACCTCCGCGACCGCGAGCAACAGCGTCGGCTCCACATTCTCCGCCTTCGCGTGATGAGCCTCCTCGCCCTTCCTCTCCTTTGGACACCTGTTAGCATAGTGTCCATAGTCTTTGCAGTTGAAGCACTGAATGTGCCCCTTGTCTCTCTTCGCCGCACCCTGCGCCTCCCCACGCCCGCCACAGCCACGGCCTCTCCCTCGGCCACGTCCACGACCACGACCACGACTCCCCCATCCGACGATCTCCCTCCTCTTCCTGAGGATTCACCGCCGGATCTTTTATGTCGTGATTCCCACTCCGCCTGAGTGAGCAGCAGTTGGCCACTGCTATCAGTTTTGGCTCCCGATCCTCCAGCTCCCCGCTGAATTCTCTCCTCAAATGCCTTCAACCACCCGATCGCCTCCTCGAACGGCAGTGTTTTCAAGTCATAAAATTGTTCAATGCCTGCAACCACGCTGATGAAGCGACCTGGCACAGTATCGAATAGTTTCTTGACTAGATCTGTATCCTCCAGTGTTCCCCCCAAGTTACCGTACTTGACTGACATAGCTGTCAGTTTTCCAGCGTACTGGTCCAGGGGCTCCTCGTCCTTCATCTTCATCGCGTCAAATTCCGCCTTAAGCGTTTGCAGGCGCGCATCCTTCACCCGATCTATGCCCACAAATCTCGCTTTCAGGCAGTCCCAGACTTCTTTTCCCGTTTTCTTCTTGGCTACTTGCATGAGCAAGTCATCCGGCAAGCACTAGAACAGATGCGCCCGCACCTTCCTATCTTTGCCGGCCACCGTCTCTGACTGTGGCCTCGTCGATGTGCCCTCTGACGTTTCCACAACTTCCCACCACCCCTTCTCCTCCATGATCGTCTGCACCCTGATGCTACAACTGGTGAAGTTTGTCGATGACAGAGTTGGGAACACCTGCTGGTGCCCACGCCCACCGTCACCCCGACCGCCGTCTCCATCTCCGCCAGTCGACCCCATGGATGAGAACTATGTGGTGGTTGCTTCGTTGATTGCGGCTCTGATACCAGAATGTAGGAATTAGGACCAGCAATCATGAGCTTTGATCGGTGTCTAGCCTAGAACACGAGAAATCAATCGATGAAATTGATCAAGAACACTATGTGCACCATGAACTGGCAACTGTCAACAGGGAGACAGTGCCCCTTTTCACTATTGATAAGTTCGATTACAATGCACGACAACTCTAGACTAGCTAACTGCTAACAAGTCTTAACTCTTGGCTTTATATCCAGCCATTACGAAAGCACTCACACCTACGAATAAACTGCTAAAACATGGATACAATGCGCCCTCAGCACAACTGCCGCTCCACCGTGACGTCGTGGGCGCGCTCACCGTGCGCCGCCTTGATTCGATTTCAAACTTTGAATCTCCCGCGTGACTTGCTGACTTTGCTTCTCCAGTCCACTCACCATACCAGTGCATATGCTGGATTAGCCCAACATCCAGGCATCATGGCCAAGGCACAAGCTGAGGTTAGGGGAGTGTTCATGGCCAAAGGAAGGTAACCGAAGATCAGCTAGGCGAGCTATCTTATCTGCAGCTGGTCATCAAGGAGACCCTACGACTGCATGTCCCGGGGCCATTGCTCGTGCCAAGGGAATGCCAGGAGCAGTGCCGGATATTGGGCTACGATGTGCCCAAGGGAGCCATGGTGCTCCTGAACGCCTGGGACATCGCTAGGAGCCCGGATTACTGGGAGGAGCCAGACGCGTTCCATCCTGAGAGGTTTCTCAGTGACACGAGAGATTTCAAGGGCAACGACTTTGAGTTCATCCCGTTTGGCGCCGGGAGGAGGATCTGCCCTGGCATGGCATTCGGGATGGCGAACATAGAGCTCGGTCTCGCCAGCTTGCTCTTCTACTTTGACTGGAGTCTCCTGGTGGCCCGGTGGGCGTTGTTCCCGGTGAGATGGACATGACTGAGACCATGGGGATGACTGCTAGGAGGAAAGCAGACCTCTTGTTGTCTGCTACTCCGTGTGTCAAACTGTCGAGTTAATGTTAATTTGAATAAGATGCTCTATTCGCAAAAAAAAAAGAATAAGTTGCTCGAGCTTGAGCTTGTATGTAATCCTATCGAATATGTTTACGCTTTCGGCAGTTGTTTAAGTTGGCGTAGAATCACAGGTGAACGATGCCATGCCCGTTCCACGCCATGACCGCCATTGTGTGCTTCCGTGTCATGACGTCACGCTGTGCATGCCCACTCCTGATCCAAAAATGGAGGAGATCGTGGAGCACATTGCATGGCAGAGCGATCGAGCTCCAAGCCTATGTATCCAATTATGTAATGGAAATCATGGAAAACAACCCGAAAAGCTGCGGCTATTTAGCAGCGAAACTCTCTCGTGTTCATCCACTCTCGCGCGCGTGTGTGTCCAAGTTCGTGAACTCACCATGGTGATCGCGTCCGGAGCAACACCGTTGCCGATCCAGGAATCAACCGCCACGGCACGGTTCCAACAACCGGTATCAAAGCCGGTTGGAGGAGCATTCCGGCAGTGGGTGGCAGTGTGGAGGACTCCAGGTGGTCACATCCTCCCTACCCCAAGTGGCGGCGGCGAGGGATTGTGGAGAAGATGGGCAACACAATACCGGGTACTAGCACGACGTTTGAAGGCGTCAAGGAAAGTTCCCTCTCATGGCTGATGCTTGCCTGCACGAACTATGCGGAGTGGGCTTTGTTGATGCAGATCAATTACGAGGCGATGGTGGTGATCTTGTTCATCGCATAAGCACTTCTGGACTTGTTTTCTACCTTGGAACCAGTTTATTGGGGTTTAGGAAGTGAAGCTGCTAGACAACATATTGATGAAAGTCCAAACATGCTGAATTTCCAGGAAGCAAGGGCAATGGAAATGGCCAATTAAAAAACAGTTTTCTATTTATCTGTTGACAGTTTTCTTGCAAAGAAATCTGTCAAATTTTGAGCTATTTGTTTTTGCTCTGTGATGTGTGTTCTGGTTGGAGTTTTTTCAATGTTTCTAACTTTGTTGGAACTACTTTTCCTTTAATTCTTTATTAGCAAAACTGCAAAAAAAAATCGAACACATAAATTAGCCATACAGTACTGTAACATGACGAATTCACTACGTGAAAAACGCCCTGTAGGGGCGGCTGCAGATCGTTTGTAGAGGCGGCTCAGCCAGCCACCCCTACCATACCGTCTCTACAAATCATGTATTTGTAGGGATGGTTCAAGAAACCGCTCTTACAAATCGATTTGTAGGGGCGGTTGGTACTGTAGCCGCCCCTCCAAATCGATTTGTAGGGGCGGCTGATAACACCAACCGCCTCTGCAAATCGATTTGTAGGGGCGGCTACAGTACCCACCGCCCCTATAGTATATTTTTTGCTAAAAAAATCAAATTTACAATTCAAATCTGACCAGAACATATATAATTCAAATCAGGCATACTATAATAATAACCTCAAAAAGCGCGTGAGTAATTTTTATTTTTCCAAGTGAAATTGAGTTCTAACACTGTAACCGAAGGCCTGATGACACCAGCTGGCAACCGTCGATGCCATGTCTGATGTCTCGTACCCCTACCGTCTACCAACTGAACCATGGCAGCATCCTTCGGCCGGCTACAGAGTGCCGAGGCGGCGCCAGTGATCTTCCGTGAAGGCCGCGTCATGGTGGTGGAACACGGCCTCGGCAGACACGAGCTGCACGACGGCCGGGGACAGCGGCACCACGCACAGGCCTCGCCTGCGCAGATCCATCGCGCCGCTATCTTCCTCGCCCGTGTGCTGCCAACCATAGAAGCGATTCAAAGCTTTCAGTTTCACCGCAGATCTTTCGTGTGAAGCACATTGAGAATTTAGACAAAAAGTCGCTTTATATGCTATATGATCCCGTAATCGGGTACCTGCCGTGACGCTGAAGAACTAAATTCAGGGTAGGAGGCGGTCAGAATCTGCAGAAAAAAATTATAGCGAAACGGTGATGGAAAAAAACCGTGAGTTTCTGCAAATTTGTTACTGCTTTCGTACAAGCGTCAAGCGTGCGACATTCAGTAAGAAGCTGATGCAATGCAACATCTGGCTCACCTGGATCTGCTCGTGGAGATGCTTGATGCAGGTAGCTGCCTCGTGGAGCACTGATGCCGTATCGGTCTGCACACGCGGGTAGATCTTATTCAGGTTTCAGAGACACAAACGCTCTTCAGATTGGCGCATGCTATGCATGCAGATCACAAATAGGAATACACACACAGCATGGGCAGCAAAGGTCAACGAACTGCTGGAGCTTTACCTTGCCATACGGGGAGACGAGCTGCTGAAGCGCCGTGATTTTGTCCCCCAGCTTCTGGCTCCTCTTACATGGTGCCTGCACAAAGTATATAATAACCAAAAAAAAGGAAAAAAACATTGAAAATACAGAAGCAATATGTCAGTATCTCAAATGAGAGAAGCATAGAATTGGCAAGAGATTGTGCCCATTTCATAGAATAGAGAAGAGTTTGTTACAGGAACAAACTCATATATACATATGCTAGATGCTACTGATGATCTTCCAATCTAAGTTACTTATGTCAAATACAACAATTCCAGTTAAGCATCTATGCAACTGGGATTTGTCCAGGCTCAAAACTAAGGACCTATGATGCATATGAAGCCATTAGCCATTATGTTCAAATGCAAAACAAACAGGGACTTGGAAAAATGGGAAAATCAATATGGGCAAGATCTTAATTGAGTTTCAAAATATTCGAATTTGTGTAGAGACAGTGGTATGTCCTTAAAACTCTGGTGTTACTTTACGCAGGCTTTTTATGCAAGTATATATGTATTTTTAAGAAAGTATATTAGCCATTTTTTTCAGAACTCCTGCGAAAAAAAATCATACATGGTGCTAACCTGCTAAACAGAGGAAATAGAGCTGTCCCTTGAAGCAGCCAATGGATCTCTGGAATGGAACTAACTAATCAATAAGATAAATCCCAGGAAAATGCACAGTCAGCTGAGACATAGAAAAGCAAGTGAAAAGTTCAACTCTAAACTAAATGCCCATAGCTACAGCCTCTATCATTATGTGTACCCAGCCCATATCATATTGGATCTCCCAACTGGAATGTAATGTTAGTTGATAGGTAGCAAACAGATATAACCATGAAGGGCAAAGTTCTGATAGGCTATACTTGCAGCAGTTGCACAAAGTGGGAAGATTAGACAAATGTATGCATCGATATATGTATGTACCATGTAATGTGATCGAAATGCTCTGGTTTCATGTTGCGTTCCTGTTGTCCTGAGGTAAGATAAGTTTTATATTGGTACCAACAATAATCATATATCTATAATAATTTTCAGGTATTTTGTTCCGATCGCGTTAACATGTAGCTGAAAACATATTTAAATTACACATTTCATCTATTACATTCTGTTCTACATGATCTGCCCAAAAATCACAAGAAGTTGTACCCTGATCTAAAGATCCAGAAAATTGTTTTGGAATACAAACTGCAAGAAGCCAATCTTATGGAAAAAGGGCATCAGAAGGCACCTGCACACTTCTATCACCGGTACTTTCTCGGCGAACACCTTGAATATGGCACGTGGTCTTCCTCTAAGGCAATGCATCAAACACCTTGAGCGTGCCATGTGGTCCATACATGTGAAGCATCAGCAGTGTCCACCAGCAGGTAGCGAGGAAGACGGGGAAATGAAAGATGGGGTTCAATCTCACCGAGGATGATGCTAGTTGCTAGGTAAGACGGAATTATGGAACATGGAAAAATGTTGTAGTCTGATGCTATCTAATTAGCGGGGGTGCGCTTAACCTGGGAGAGACGGTGAAGCGAATGTAGTCCAGAGTGCGACGTCGTCCACGAGCAGCATTACCTGCAGGGGAGACAGCAGAAGTCACAGCCGTCGGGATTAGGCATGGTGGTGCAGTAGCAACTTGGGATCTGGATCGTGGTACCTGAGGCTGATGTGGGAGGTAGTTCTTGCGACGACGTTTGGAGGGACATGGGGAGAGAGGCCGCCGGCTTACTGTGCAGGGCCCGTCGCGACCGGAAGCACCAGATCCAGTGTGCGAAAGCGCCTAGGCCGCCGCCTCGGGACAGCAGCAGCTGGGGCTTGGCCAAGCCGCCACGCCGGGAGGGGGAGCGCCTGTGGCAGGGCTGTCACGGTCGGGCGCCCGTGGCGCGAGGGCCGGCGAGCTGGCGGCAAGCCAAAGGCGGTCTGCGCTGGGTTCGGCCGTGCTGGGCGCCGCGCCGCCAGGAGGAGCCGATGGGGACGGCCACCGACGCCGCCAGAAGGTGCGGCCTTGGGGACGGCCGGCTGCGGGGAGGCGAAACCCTAGGCTCCCTCGTTCGCTTCGGGAGGTCGTGTCGAGAGGGAAAGGGAGCAAGAGAAGAGAAAGAGAGGGCGATGGGCGAGGCAAACCGGCTTAATATATTAGAATTTTATTGTCGGTTCGGTATTTATAGGGGCGGCCGGTGATTCAGCCGCCCCTACAAATGGACACAGCAGGGGCAGCTAGTATTACCAGCCGCCTCTACAAATCCGACCCATTTGTAGAGGCGGCTCGTATCATCAGCCGCCCCTGCTGTTCTATTTGTAGGGGCAGCTGGTCTCTGGGCTCCCGAGACTGCCACTGTAGGGGCGGCTCCATCACCAGCAGCCCCTACAAAAAATTTGCCTCGTTGCTACAAAGCGTTTTTCAGGTAGTAATTTGGAGAGGAACATGAAAATAGTTTGCTGACTGTATTGTGGTCTTCAACTCTTCATCCTTTCGTTCTTGCCTGCAAAGCCTAGTTCTTGAATATACACAGAGGGAGATTAGCTAGAAATAAAAGTAGCGAGAGGAGCCTGTCTGCCTATTCAGTATGCAGGGCGAGTGGTGCAGGATCCAGCGAATGCAACGGTGAACAGGCCATAGTGCATGACCACGACAGCTGAACTGATCGCATGGTTACAAAAAACTCTTGTGGCATTACGGGTTGAAGAAGTGGTCCTATACTCCTATCAACAAGATTTAAGATCAGGAAGGTGTAGAGTCAGCTTAACTCATGTGATGTCATGGAAGCTGAACTGCCAAAACGGATGACAATAAAACTCAATTCAATGCTGATGCGTGAAAACAAAATGGACCAAAGGAGGATCTAGGGAGGCAGCCAACGCACAAGTTTGGCCGTTTCGAGCAGGATGGAGTTACTTGAGTGAGCTAGGAGCAGCGGTATGGAAGACAAAAGGATTGGACGCTAAGATCATAGGAAAAAAAGTCAATCTAACAGCTGAAATATTACTGATGATGTGGCTTCACCAGAGAAGGGAGAAATACCAATCAATGAGACTTAGTGGGTTCTATCTATCTAGGTTATATATAGATTAGTGACAGTAAGATTTCAACTGAAGTTTTTTGTAATAAATGGCGAAAATTATCCCATGTTTGACTGCTGATTTAAGTTAGGTTGATCTTTGTCTTTTTAAGGCATTCTTCAGTGGCCGCACCCTACGCTGATGTGTGAGCTCAGAAATCATCGATTCTTCGCCACTAGAGGCCAATCGAACCTTGCTGTCAGGAAGTAACTGAACCCAAAATAGGAATCTGTTCCAGTGTCCCTACTCACTAAAGAATCACTTGTGAGAAGGAAGGAGAGAAGAATGGAGATGTAAAACTGAAACCACCGCTAGAGAAGAAGGAAGAGACAAAACTAAAACTATCCTCTTTGCTATGACTTTTTGCCAGGAGTCAAACGATCAGACCAACCACTGGAGAAGGCCTAGTTGTGGGGTAAACTGGTATACGTATAATTTTTAATATATGGAATCAAGTTCTGTTACCAACTCTGCTGCTACTGTACCTGAACCTGAACCGCAATAGGTGCCGAAGCCCAGAGCTGCAAGGGAGAGAAGGCCCAACCCGTTTATTGCTGGCCCATCGCGAATTCGTTAGTGACGAGAGAGTAGTACTTAAAGGGAGAAGAGAGTAGAGAGAGGATTATGAAAATTGTAAACCATAACTGAGTTCTGTTAATCATTCCTCATCCTGCCTATCGTGCTGACGTGCTGTGCTTCTTCTTCCCCAAATTCCTAATTCCCTTTTCTAGCCTACGCTTCTGCTAACAAGTTCTTTGAAAAAGCCAAGATGGATCAGATAGCAATAAATGCAGTTGCCATCCAAAGCTTGAGGTTGGAAATGAGAGCACAATATAATTTGAATTTTAGCAGGAAAGATATCGAAATGTGAGGCAAGTCAGCCCTCAGCAATAGCTAGCGATCGTCGGTCAGCTACCACCAGAATGGGGCCATCGACTCAACTACCACTTGAGAATTGAGACATGACAGTCAAGCAAATCAAGAAGAGAATATGCTTCCTTGCTTTCGTTTCTCCGTTTCGTCAAAGACGACACACATCATCACCGGCACGGTGTCGGTCACCAAGCTCCTGCTGCCGTCCAGGGGGCCCGAGGGTAACATCTCGGCGTCCCTCGGCAACCTCACCGGCCTGCGAGCTGCGGTGCCTCGACCTGTCGCGCAACTCGATCGCTCTCCGGCGCGCGGCCTCCCGCTGGAGCTGATGTCGTCAGCAAGCGTCCTCGTCCTCGATGTCAGCTTCAAGCGCCTCAGCGGCGAACTGCAGGAGTACTGCCCCTCCCCGTCGTCTCTTGCGTACCATCCTCTGCAGGTACTCAACGTCTCCAGCAACTTCTTCTTTGGAGATTTCCCATCCACGGCGTCATGCCGTCCTCTTTTTGCTTCGGCTCAGCCGTCGTCCTTCGCCGTGCTTGATCTTTCCTGCATCCTGTTCACTGGCGGCATCCCCACTAGTACAGGTGAATGCTGTGCACTCCGAGTACTCAAGGTTGGCCACAACGACATCGGCGGCTCTATGACGCTATCCCTGACTAGCTGTTGTTCAATGCCACCTCGTTGGAGCATGTCTCTTTTCCCCACGGTAGCCTGACAGGAGAGCTTTCACGGTGCACTTATGGCCAAACTTGGCGGTCTCGCAATCCTTGATCTTCAAGGCAACGACTCGGTCGGTGAAATTTCAGACTCCATAGGCCAGCTTCATTCATTGAAGGAGCTGCATTTGGGATACAACAAGATGAGAGGATACCTTTCCAAGGTCAACTTCTCCGGCCTGCATGCCAAATCTGGAAATTTTCGATCTTATGTCCAACAGCTTCACTGGAGAAATCCCGGGGAGCGTCTACTCATGCAGCAAGCTAACGACGCTACAGCTCTCTTACAATAGATTCCATGTCCAAGTGTCACCGAGTCTTGCCAATCTGAACTCCCTAACATTCCTATCACTTGCCAACAATGCTTTCAAGAACATCGCAAATGCACTTCGTGCACACGGGAGCTCCAAGAACATCACACTATGCTCAGGGGTGAGACTTTGCCTGATGATGTACTCTGGCTTACTTTGATGCCTCACGTAGCCATGTAAGATGATGTGAACTGAAACGACATAACTGTGTCACTGTTGTGTGTGTTCAAGTATTTGCTTCTTGATGCCTCCCGATCTATTGATTGAATTCCTGAACCAAATCAGTAATGCTAGAAGTTTTGCAATGACCCTTGTCTAGTACTACTTTGATAAGTACTCAATGTCAATACTTTCAGTTGTTCTGTTTTGAGTTCAGGTTGTATTTTATTTATTTAACGTGCCAACACTTCTACTTTGTTTCATTGTTGTGTTTATGATCTTTTTTCCCCATTTCTGGAATCATTTCTCATCATATGTATTTGTGACAATTGTGCAGGATGTAGAGGTCTCAACCTCTAAAACTGGAAAGCATGGTCACGCCAAGTGCCACTTTGTTGCTATCGACATCTTCAATGGCAAGAAGCTTGAAGATATTGTCCCATCTTCGCGCAACTTTGATGTCAGTACTTTTACATTTTGTGGTCTCTAACATTAGCAGTGCTTTCATTGTCATTGAGAGATCAATTTGTTCTTTTTACAGGTCCCTCATGGCCTCATCTGAACCGTACTGAATACCAGCTCATTGATATATCTGAGGATGGATTTGTAAGTCCAAGTATCTCTTAATGTTGTTCATGTTGTGTGCCATTCCATATTGACATGAGAAATTAATTTTTTCAGGTGAGTCTTCTCACTGAAAACGGCAACACTAAAGATGACCTGAGGCTCCCAACTGACGATAACCTGCTTTAGTCAAGTATATACTAACTGAATTTTCTTTTAACAAAGTTGCTTTACATGCATAAAATAAATCAGCAAGTTAGGATATTCATGGATACCTTCCTTTTATATATCATGAAATTGATGGCATGCACATCATATCAGCAAGAAATTGACCCCGGTAGCTTATGCTCTGTTTTCTCTTTGGTAGATGCTCATCTGCTTAATGAAATCATTAGATGCACACTGGTTAGATTCTCTTTTCAACATTAGATGTCCTCATGAACTGTCTGGCAGCATCTTGTGCTATTTTTTGGCCCATTTAAATATATCACTTTAATAATTTTCTGTCTCAACCTAAATTTTCAAGACTCTACCTTTTTGTCATGCCATAGGACTTGGCATTGTTATATGGGTTGCCACGCCAAGGCCTATAGTGCTGAGCCATGGGCCTTCTGTTTTGAAATGGTGCCATGGGCCTTTTTATCACCATGTGCCTTGGCCTGGGAGCTCATATAGCTATGCAAAGGTTCATGCTATGACCAAAATGGCTATATGTTCAAAATTAGCTAGAGCAGTTATTACGAAAATAGACTTAAGTGCTAAATGATAAAAAAAAAATCCACATGCTTACAACTTATTGCTGGCTGAGGAAGTAAATACATTGATGAAGCCAAAATTAACCTTGCAGGAAGATCATCATGCTTTTAAGCATAAGTCACTTCTATTTTCATCATGGCTGCAGATCAAGGATGCCTTTGCTGAAGGCAAGGACCTGGTGGTGACTCTATGTCTACAGTGGGGGGGAGCAGATTTGCGCACTGAAGGACATTGGACCAAGAGACTAGTCTCCATGCCATGTATTTT